ATTACTGCATAAATACTCTCTTTTCTTGGTACCGATTCTCCATGGCAATTCATTTACTAACTGTTTACTGCTGACTAAAAATTCTTCTGTAGTCTCTGCTGTGTTTAGCCTTGCGCATAAACTCCAGCCAGCAATTATTTTCATTGACGAGGTAGACAGTTTTTTGGGCCAGCGCAAGACTTCAGACCATGAAGCACTAACTAACATGAAGACTGAATTTATGGCTTTGTGGGATGGTTTCACCACAGACCGTAAGTTTCCTTAATCTTCATGGGAATATTGTTAAAGATAGTTTTCATTGCTCTTTAATATGCCTTTTTGTGGCTATATAATGTGGTTGTCGTATTTGTTCAATGTTAATTTGTTAATTTGAGATATTGAAGATGTCGCTTTTTGCTTAGATGGTACAGTTTTGTTTATGCAGACAATTCTCGGGTGATGGTACTGGCTGCGACTAATCGTCCATCAGAACTTGATGAAGCAATTCTCCGTCGCCTTCCTCAAGCATTTGAAATTGGGATGCCTGATTGTAGGGAGAGGGCAGAGATTTTGAAGGTGATTTTGAAGGATGAGAGCGTTGAAGATGATATCGATTACGACCGTATAGCTGGTCTTTGTGATGGATACACTGGCTCGGATCTTCTTGAGCTCTGCAAAAAAGCTGCCTACTTGCCTATCAGGGAGCTGCTTGATGATGAGAAGAATGGAAAGTCGTCTTTGGTTAGTATTTTTTACCTTTGCTTGTTTAATTAGTTTTTTTTGGAATTTTAGTTCCTGTCTATAATAACTCGGGTTATGAAGACCTATGATAACGAGATTGGTTATGTAATAATCGCAGTATTTAACAGTATTTTATCAATTAATAAGCAGACTAGAGCATTACAACGCAACATGCCATGGGAACTGAGGAAGACCAAGTTCTTAAAATGCCCTGCCTTCTACCGCCGTTTACTGAATCAATCAATTCCACTTTTAACCTGCATCTTTTATTACTGATTCAATTTTATAAAGAGAGAACTTAAATCGTGTCAACTTAAATCATGTCACAAGCTTAACATGATTCTGCCAATTGTTGCTTCATGAAATAAATTCTTTGAGCTGCTTTGCCAGCTTGAATTTGTTGTAGTAGTTCATTTAGAGGTGGTCAATCTCAGGAGCATTATTAGTTTTCTGTGTATGTTCTCTTCTGTATATCTGTAATAAATGGTTTGCTTTTCTGCTGCAAATCAACGTGTATTTAGTTCTGTAACACGACTTATAAAATGTAATTTAAAAAAGCATGAAATTATAAAAGGCGTCGTCACTTTTTAAGTATTGAACATAAATGCATTGGTTCAGGAATTAACTATTCTAACTGCTATCCATTTTCTTGTCAAATTTATATGTATTTTCTAGGAGCCAAGGCCATTATCACAGTCGGATTTGGAAAAAGTCATCTCTAAAACAACAAAGACGAAAGTTGCTGCAAGTGAATATTCTCGATTGAGCTTACAATCATCATGGCCAGGGCATGGAGATTCCGACGATTATCATGTTCAAGCAGCCATTAATGAGCTATCTAAGCTCGTGGTTTCCCAAATTTTGAACATTCAGCCAGATTCCCAAGATCGTTGATTGTTGTTTCTAGTCCTAAATACCCTGCTTGTATAATTATGCAATTACATTATAGGATTTGCAAACCCTTTTGACATAAGATTAACCCTATTAGAAATTACCATCTCCTAATTCGGGTTTTCGGCAATCCATTTATGTGGCATTTCTGGTTCACTCCCTAGTGTCTGCCTGATTGCAGCAGAACTCTCTTTTTTATCCCCGTTTTACTTTCAGGAGTGATTGATTGGACTGCAGAGAGACTTTGTAATACTAGTATTTGTTGGATTATGTGGAGCATAATCATATTTGCACTCGTCTTCTCGATACATAAGAGGATGGTTAAGGCCAGCTTCTACATGAATAAAGCTTCCTTGCCCCAAAAAAACTGACTGAGGCTCTGACCACCCTTCACATGAGCCGATCCCACATGAATAAAAAATTGCAAAAAATTTTCCATGTAATTGGTTTTCAAAATTTTCTTGATTTTTGACGAAAAGCTTCTCTCTCGGGTTTGGTGAGAAAAGCTTTGCTAAGCAATTTTTTTATTTTTTATTTTTGCAATTGAAATAAATTTTATCCCTAATTGCAATAAATTATATCCTTTAATGGACAATTTTTATGGAAAAACGAACATCAAAAGATCCAAAATTTTAATATTTTTCACGTGAAAAATTATACAAATCAAACACAATTAATTGATAATTTTCAATTAAACGAGTTCTGGGCAATTTGATTCCCTATAATTCATTTTTTTTACCCAATTTCATTCTTACAATCAAATGGATCATAACTGAAACTAGATGTCACACTTACATCACATTTAGGACAAACTAGCAAAATCCTTATATTTGCTTTGGGGGTTTTTATTTTTGTATACTTGTGTTAAAGTTATATTGTTCTCAAAATTTTAGGGATTACGATTTAATCCACGACGTGACTTAGTCTCAAACAGTGCCTAGCAGGATGAATGTTTTCAATGGTGGTCCAGCTATGCGGCTATGGGAGGGACTTTCAGCTGGAATTGTTTCCCATTGCTTCCCAACAACCTAATTCACTATTCATTCATAAGGCCTGTTTGATTTTTTTCATTAATTGAGAAAAAATGAGTTTTGAATAGTAGTTGTAGGAGAATGTGTGATTCAAAAGCATGAATTTTTTTTTGGTATATATGTAAAATATTTTATTATACGAATGTGCGGTCGAAAATGATCCCATGACAAATCATAATATAAATTAATCGAGTCAAATAGGCATAAAAGCGTGTGCTGGCATTAGACTTTGAAATCTTTAATTGCATAATGAGTCAATGACCAACCAGTTAGGCCATAAGATAAAGTGCTTACGTGTGAACGATGATAATATAAATTGATCAAAGCTGACCCTTCAATGTATCTGTATTATTATTCTATAAATCAACGCCGTCCTTTATTATTCTCATAGAGCCTATATATTGGGGACCAATTGGGCATTACGAAGGAGCAGCAAATTTTAAAGGCCGGAGCACCACTTTCTTGACTTTCATATTCATGTCATGAGTTGAAGAGGAATGATAGTTTCATTTTCAATACATTTCTAATTCAAATTTTATTTTTTAAGTGAATTTCGAGTCAAAATTTATGAATTCTTTTTACATCGCGAACCTCGCAAAGGGATTAGTTATGTTTTTCAAATTAATCAGGTGAGTAAGTGGGACCAAAGAAACCCAAGATATGAATTCAAAAGTTTGAAGAGGTCCAAAGCTGATTGCTTCAAACTTAGGGCGTGTTTAGTAGAGATTAAAATTGAAAAATTAGTCGTTATTGTTGACTTTTATTAGACGAGTGAGATCCAATAACGACCATATTTTCAAATAAAATTGGATTTTAATCCTGAGCAAACATGCTCTTAAACAGGGCCAGGAGTTTTACGCTAGGAGAATTCTTGTTGTACATTACCTTGTACATCAAGGTGTCCATAATGGACACCCGACACCCTCTCATTGGAGGGAGTGCCGATCCCACCAACCCTCCCTCCAATGAAAGAGCGACATGTGTCCATTATGTAGACCCTTATGTTAGTGGTGATGTACCACTAGCATTACCCTTTACGCTATTGCTCTTTTACACTATCTCTATCTTAGGATTTAATTATTGAAAAGTGGAAAAAAAAATTGATATGTTTGATACTACTGCACTAAATATATTCTGAATTAAACAATATTAGACAATTTCCGAGAAAGAAAAATGGAAATTAATCTTTGTTTTATCAATTCTATCTATTTCTGTTCATTGTCCCATGTTTGTTAAGGATTAAAATTTAGATTTAATTTAAATCAAAATCAATAATTAATTTTAACTACATATTTTATGAGACCATAATTTTTTAACGACATATTTCATCGACTTTTATTAAAATTTACTAAAATTTTAATTTTAATCACCACCAGACGGGGCATAAAAATCTACACTTGGAATATGCTAGGTTCAACGCGAGTTTTTTTTTCACTCGTGGGTGAATTTCTCTTTGGTCCCCACTTATTCTACTAATTTTGAGTTTACATAGATAATTTCTGCATTCTACCTTATTAGATTAGCAAAGGTTAAATTATATGGAAAAGCATTCTCGTTAGTTCATAAAATATGTGTTTTTGGTATCCATTTTCAAATGGTTAGTTGATATGGGACGGGCGGATTTACAGTGGGGCAATAGGTCACCTACTCTCATGTTACATTTGAAAATTTAATATTTTGCTCAATTTTTTTTCAAGAGTAGTCTTTGTAATTTTCAATTTTTGCCCCCATAATCAAAATTTTATATAATTTGCCCTCACAAATCTTATTTTCTAGCTCCGTCCTGATACAGGAGACTTTATCAAATATTCTGTAGCGGTGATGGCGCAGACATCCGCAAAATTAGGTTTTTGTTTACACAACTCTAGAGAAGCCGGCAAAAGTTCACTGAGTGGAGGATCAAATGGACCAAGCCTGTTTTCAATTAAATCCCTATTAAATATTTATCTAGTGCTTGTTGATATAGCTAAAAAAATTGATCAAATTTTATTGAAGCCCCTATTTGATTCCTTTTATTTTCCTTAAATTTATTTTTTATACTCATTTTCAACCACGCATCGACACAATAAAATATTTTAAACGTAAATTCAAAATATCTCCCTACTTTTTAATCAAACATTGTTCAAAAAATACTATTAAAAACTATGTTTTTAAATTTTAAGGCCACCAAACAAGGACGAAATCTACAACTTTTATTCACTTTTTAATACACAGATGAACTTTTCAATGTTACGTCATTTGTTATTATTTCAGGTGAGTGGGTAACGAGTTGGAATTGTAGGAGTGGGCAGCATTGGCTCGAGGGTTGCTAAGAGGCTCGAGGCATTTGGCTGCAGCATTGGCTACAACTCAAGGAAGATGAAGCCCAATGTTCAGTACCCTTATCATAAAAATGTTCAAGATCTTGCAGCAAACAGCGATGCATTGATTCCCTGCTGTACATTGACAGATGAAACCTACCATGTAGTTAACAAGGATGTTATGACTGCCTTGGGGAAGGACAGTATTATTGTCAATATTGGACGTGGAGCACTGATCGATGAGAAGGAATTGGTACAACCCAACTTTCATCGGCTTTTAGAAATATCACACAACCCATCAAACTTTTATCGATTTTTAAAAATATCACAAATCCTTAATATTTATAGTATAATTTCATTCAAACAATTTGAATTATAAATTCAAGTGTATAAAAGCAAAAGAGTGCAACAAAATTAAAATTTTACCAACATATCAAATAGTGTTGTAGGCTCGGTTCAAATGAGTGTACGATGGGTTTTATTAAGCATGTTTCGACAAAAGAAATTTGAATGTAGCACATAATTGGCTTTATTGGTAGGTTAATTTACTGCATCGAGGGTCTTATTCACATTGATTGGTGCATTAACACTTAAGGTATGAAATAAATTCAATTACAAACTAGTCAAATTTAATGTTAACATCTCAAATAAAGAGAGACGAATTTCTCAAACTAATTTCACTGTTATCTTAATTATTGCAATTGAGATTGTATCATCGAGGGTCTTTTTTTTCTTTTTGGGTTATTTTATCAAATAATAGCACATTTCTTAAATAAATTTGTCTCTCTCACTCGCACCCAATAGTCTAAGTCATACAAAAACAGCTATAAAGGTATTTTCTCCAATCCCAATATTTGACCAATAAAAAAATCACCATTGACGTGTGCCGTCTACAATCTGCAAAACATTTCCCTCCTTTTAATATTCTCACCTCCATTCTTTATACAAACATTACAATTTACAGGTTCAAGCATGAAGCATTTTCTCTCTCTATAGTTATTCACTTTCTCTCTCTAAAATTTCGTGAATCAATTATTCTTTCCATAATTCTTCCAATTTCAATTATACCCTCTCCGATTCCACCGCTTTCCAAAAGCATCAAACCCATTCAAAAGTTTGAAGAGGTCCAAAGCATTGCTTCAAACTTAGGGCGTGTTCGGTAGAGATTAAAATTGAAAAGCTAGTTGTTATTGTTGACTTATATTAGACGAGTGAGACCCAATAACGACCATATTTTCAAATAAAATTGGATTTTAATCCTGAACAAACGTGCTCTTAAACAGGGCCAGGAGTTTACGCTAAGATAATTCTTATTGTATATCACCTTGTACATCAAGGTGTCCATAATGGACACCCGACACCCTCTCATTGGAGGGAGTGCCAACCCCACCAACCCTCCCTCCAATGAAAGAGCACCATGTGTCCATTATGTAGACCCTTATGTTAGTGGTGATGTACCACTAAGCATTACTCTTTACGCTATTGCTCTTTTACATTGTCTCTATCTTAGGATTTAATTATTGAAAAGTGGAAAAAGAAAAATTGATATGTTTGATACTACTGCATACTAAATATATTCTGAATTAAACAACACTAGACAATTTCCGAGAAAGAAAAATGGAAATTAATCTTTGTTTTATCAATTCTATCTATTTCTGTTCATTGTCTCATGTTTGTTAAGGATTAAAATTTAGATTTTAATTTAAATCAAAGTCAATAATTAATTTTAACCACATATTTTATGATACCATAATTTTTTAACGACATATTTCATCAACTTTTATTAAAATTTACTAAAATTTTAATTTTAATCACCACCAAACGGGGCATAAAAATCTACACTTGGAATATGCTAGGTTCAACGCGAGTTTTTTTTTTCACTCGTGGGTGAATTTCTCTTTGGTCCCCACTTATTCTACTAATTTGAGTTTACATAGATAATTTCTGCATTCTACCTTATTAGATTAGCAAAGGTTAAATTATATGGAAAAGTATTCTCGTTAGTTCATAAAATATGTGTTTTTGGTATCCATTTTCAAATGGTTAGTTGATATGGGACGGGCAGATTTACAGTGGGGCAATAGGTCACCTGCTCTCATGGTACATTTGAAAATTTAATATTTTGCTCAATTTTTTTCAAGATTTTAAAAGAAGTCTTTGTATTTTCAATTTTTGCCCTCACAAATCTTCTATTCTAGCTCCGGCCTGATACAGGAGACTTTACCAAATATTCTGTAGCGGTGATGGCCCAGACATTCGCAAAATTAGGTTTTTGCCTACACAACTCTAGAGAAGCCGGCAAAAGTTCGATGAGTGGAGGATCAAATGGACCAAGCCTGTTTTCAATTAAATCCCTATTAAATATTTATCTAGTGCTTGTTGATATAGCTAAAAAAATTGATCAAATTTTATTGAAGCCCCTATTTGATTCCTTTTATTTTACTTAAATTTATTTTTTATACTCATTTTCTACCACGCATCGACACAATAAAATATTTTAAATGTAAATTCAAAATATCTCCCTACTTTTTAACCAAACATTCTTCCAAAAATACTATTAAAAACTATGTTTTTAAATTTTAAGGCCACCAAACAAGGGCGAAATCTACAACTTTTATTCACTTTTCAATACACAGATGAACTTTTCAATGTTACGTCATTTGCTATTATTTCAGGTGAGTGGGTAACGAGTTGGAATTGTGGGAGTGGGCAGCATTGGCTCGAGGGTTGCTAAGAGGCTCGAGGCATTTGGCTGCAGCATTCCTTACAACTCAAGGAAGATGAAGCCCAATGTTCAGTACCCTTATCATAAAAATGTTCAAGATCTTGCAGCAAACAGCGATGTATTGATTCCCTGCTGTACATTGACAAATGAAACCTATCATGTAGTTAACGAGGATGTTATGACTGCCTTGGGGAAGGACAGTATTATTGTCAATGTTGGACGTGGAGCACTGATCGATGAGAAGGAATTGGTACAACCCAACTTTCATCGGCTTTTAGAAATATCACACAATCCATCAAACTTTTATCGATTTTTAAAAATATCACAAATCCTTAATATTTATAGTATAATTTCATTCAAACAATTTGAATTATAAATTCAAGTGTATAACAGCAAAAGAGTGCAACAAAATTAAAATTTTACCAACATATCAAATAGTGTTTTAGGTTCGGTTCAAATGAGAGTACGATAGGTTTTATTAAGCATGTTTCGACAAAAGAAATTTGAATGTAGCACATAATTGGCTTTATTGGTAGGTTAATTTACCGCATCGAGGGTCTTATTCACATTGATTGGTGCATTAACACTTAAGGTACAAAATAAATTCAATTACAAACTAGTCGAATTTAATGTTAACATCTCAAATAAAGAGAGACGAATTTCTCAAACTAATTTCACTGTTATCTTAATTATTGCAATTGAGATTGTATCATCGAGGGTCCTTTTTTTTTTCTTTTTGGGTAATTTTATCAAATAATAGCACATTTCTAAAATAAATTTGTCTTTCTCACTCGCACCCAATAGTCTAAGTCATACAAAAACAGCTATAAAGGTATTTTTCTCCAATCCCAATATTTGACCAATAAAAAAATCACCATTGACGTGTGCCGTCTACAATCTGCAAAACATTTCCCTCCTTTTAATATTCTCACCTCCATTCTTTATACACACATTACAATTTACAGGTTCAAGCATGAAGCATTTTCTCTCTCTATAGTTATTCCCTTTCTCTCTCTAAAATTCCGTGAATCAATTATTCTTTCCATAATTCTTCCAATTTCAATTATACCCTCTCCGATTCCGCCGCTTTCCAAAAGCATCAAACCCATAATTTCAGCCCATCATTCTTGAAAAAGTTGAATAAGTCCTAATTCGATAATAAGGTTAACCCTTTTTATTTTTCGTAAATTATTGTTCTATGGTTATAATGCTTCTTGCATATCTGACCCTCATAGTGTTTTCAATCATTATTGGGTATATAGTTATCAGATTTTTGTCAAAATCGTCTTTAATTCACGTTTTGAAGAAATGGTGGAGATTCTTCGAGGAGAAGTGCTACTTGTATCAGTTTTACAAGGTGCCGAAATTCAATGAGTACATGCAGGAAAATCAACTTTACAGAAAAGTACATGGTTACCTGAATTCCTTACCCGGCGTGGAAGATTCTGATTTCACCAATCTATACTCAGGTAACAAATCCACTGAAATCAATCTCGTTCTAGATTCGAATCAGGTGGTTTTGGACGATTTTCTTGGCGCCAGACTGTATTGGATGAACGAAGAAACTAGCTCAAAATCGCTCATTCTGAAGATCAGAAAGAAAGACAAGCGAAGAATTCTAGTTCCTTATTTGCAGCATATTCACACAGTGTTCGATGGTATTGAGCAGAAAAGGAAAGAGGTGAGACTATTCGTTAACGTAGAAACCGAACTGCTGAGAAACGGACGCTGGAGATCGATTCCGTTCACTCATCCAGCGACTATGGATACAGTCGTAATGGATACGGATCTGAAGAATAAAATCAAATCAGATCTGGAAAATTTTCTGAAGTCCAAACAGTATTATCACCGATTAGGCCGTGTTTGGAAGAGAAGCTTCTTACTATACGGACCCTCCGGCACTGGAAAATCGACGTTCATCGCTGCCATAGCCAAATTCCTTCACTACGATGTATACGAATTCGATTTAAACAAAATCGCCGGTGATTCAGATCTGAAATTCCTTATGCTACAAACTTCGAACAAATCGCTGATCGTGATCGAAGATCTGGATCGTTACCTGAACGCGAAATCAACGACCGTGAGCTTTCCAGGGATTTCAAATTTCATGGATGGGATTTTTTCATGCTGTGGCGAAGAAAGGGTGATGGTATTCACAATGAACAGTAAGGAGAATATTGACCCGACAATTATCCGTCCTGGAAGAGTTGATGTCCATATCCATTTCCCTTTGTGTGATTTTTCGGGTTTTAAGATTTTGGCCAGTAGTCATTTGGGGTTAAAGGATCACAAATTGTTCCCACAGGTTGAAGAGATATTTCAAATCGGGGCGAGTTTGAGTCCGGCTGAAATTGGCGAGATTATGATTTCGAACCGTACTTCACCTAGCCGGGCAATAAAAACGGTTATTTCGGCGCTGCATAGTAACAACGCCAGTCGTGTGGCGAGGAGGTTGTGTGGGAGTGGTTCGGGTCGTGGCTCGGAAGAGTTGGATTGTAAGTCCGGGCTATTTTGCAGGGAGAATAATAATCCTATGAAAGAGTTGAAGAATTTGTATGGATTTTTGAGGAATAAAAGTAGTAGAAAAACTTCAATAGATTTTGATGCAGCTGAAAGAGAGAATCAGAATCCGAATCCGAATCCAAATCCGAGTGCACATGCAGATTGCTAGTTGTTGACTTGTAAAAGCTTATACTTTAGCTTTACACTTGCCCTAGGATGTGATTTTAGACGCAATTACACAAATTCTGTCAACTTTTCGCTAATTATGTAAAACTTTGATCATTGAGTTTAGTTGTGGATGCAGTTGTAAAAAGTTCAGTTTAGTTCTCGAGTTCATGGTTAAACTCAATAATCAGACACCGATTAAGAGTTCACTGTTAAATTCGATTTATATTTAGTTATCTTCATTCAATGATAGAAATTAAATAGTTTGACAGCATAATTGATTTACACCTCCTTCGTATAAAAGCATGCTTAGACATTTTAAAAACTACCTCTGAATTTACATTGAAAAAAGTTTAAAGTAAATGAATTGAAACGGCTTTAAAATTTAGAACCATTTTAGGTGACATGTAGGATCTATCTATAATTATTCAATAAAGGAATTCATTTCCATCTATTCAACAATTAAAGGTGTATTCTATTCTAGTAACTACGAAGCACTAGGATAGAATTGTTATTGGTTCAATTCTATTCTTTCACATTAAATAATTTTTTAAAGAAAAAATATCTCTTTTTTCTCAATTCACCCTCTAAAATCTAAATAGACGTTTAAAAATAAATTTCTCTTCCTAAAACTTTAATAATTTTTCAAAAATCCAAATAGGCCTTTTAAAATAATTCTTTCTTAAAAAATCAAGGGTGACTTGTCAATAGAGGTGGGCAAAAAAATCGAAAAATCGACCAAACCAAACCGACTCGGTCGGTTTGATATAGTTATTGGTTTGGTTTTATTTTAAACAAAACCACGTTGATTCGGTTTGGTCATGGTTTAAAACTCTAAATAACTGGTTAACCGACTCAACCCACTTNATAAAGGGCGACTTGTCAATAGGGGTGGGCAAAAAAATCGAAAAACCGACCAAGCCAAACCGACTCGATGTTCTCCAGAATGTGGATGTGCTCAAACTGTTTATTTGAATAGTCTTGTTGAATACTATATAAACATTTTGTTTACTAGACATTAGATGTTAACAAAATTTTTGAGCATTGACATTTAGGATATACATTTCACTTTCCTAGATATTTTAGTTTACTAGACATTAGATGTTAACAAAATGATATTGTGGTTTTTGACTTAGTTATTGGTACTTGGGTTTTATTTTCATTGATTGGTGATTGAATTTGGATTTTATTGGTTATTGGTATTTTATTTTAGTTATTGGTATTTGGATGTACGTTTTGAGTATGAATTATTGATATCTTGTTCACTGTATGCGTCCATTCTTTATAAATTAGAATACGATATTATCTAAAAATCCAAATTGAATCCAAACCAAATCGATGTGGTTTGGTTTAAGAAAGAGTTTGTTGATTTTGGTTTTAAATTCATCCAATCCGACTACAATTTTGGTTTCGGGTTGAGGTCGAATCCAACACAGACCAAATTACGCCCAGGCCTACTTGTCAAGCTTAATCGTGGGTGCTCTCTCTCTCTCTCGCTCGCTGTGATCGCCTTTCCATCATCGACTCAGATCACTCACTCCCAGAATTCTCCATCTCCGGTTTCGGTAAGCTCAAATTTTCAGTAATTTTTCTTTTTATCTTATGTATGATTTCAGAATAGAAGGAAATAAGTTTTAAGATTTTCCCATAAATCATTACATTTTCAGCACATGTTCATCTATGTTTTAATTATGCTGATATTTATTAGATTACATGTTTTAGGTGCATTAGAATTTAAGCTTTAATAGAAGATGAAAATTTGTTGCAGGTCTTTTCAGTTCGGGTTTTGGATTTGGATTAGGGCTTGAATCGCTATGGTAAAGTTTCGTAACTAGCCTATATGATTTCCTGCGTATTTTTCCTATTTTTCGTTGCACTGCTACAGTGATTATTATTATTATCTAAAATCTTTATTGTGATTTTGAACTTCTGCCTACAGAATTATATAATTGGAGCTTTTAAGCCCGCGTGCCACATTTCAATTACATTTTCTGATGGAAAGTCCCGAAAACAGGTATATACTTACTGTCACGGTTTTACATTGTTTTCATTGGTGGGCATAGACTGTATATTCAAATGGGAGGTATACACAAAATGCAAGCTTCTGTTTTTGTTCATTTCTGTAGCTGGTTCATTTCAATGGAAATAGTTAGCAAAATTTCAGTTCTCTGAATGGAGGATATGGTCTCAACAAATGCGATATGGGGGATTGGTTGGGGGTGGGGGTGAAATTGTTAGTTTTACAAACCTCTACTTTGCTATCATGTTCATTCGACAATTTATCATTATTTTGTTTGCTTCATTGACTCTTTTGTTGGTCGTAGATAGTATAACAATAAATACTAACGTAATTCCCAATCTTAACATTTTTCCTCTTGGTTATTTAATGTTCCAATAGGTTCAGTTGAAGAAGGAGAATGGCCAAACATCAATGGTCCCACTTTTCCAAAGTCAAGAAAACATTATTGGCAAGGTATTTTACTTTACATTAAGTTTGTGACCTTTATGTATATAAATTTGTGTTTGAAGTTATTTTTAGGTATAAATTTGACAAATCTATCGTATGCATACATTCTTTTTCCAGATTTCTGTCGAACCAGTTTCAGGGAAGAAGGTTGAGCACAATGGAATCAAAGTCGAGCTTCTTGGACAAATAGGTACTGTTCTCCTTGGTGTTTTTGGCGTAACCCAAAGGTTGCAGGAGTGTTTATCATACTGCTATATTGTTTTAGGAGACAGGAGGGGACAATTGAGTTACACAGTCTCCAGTTTTTATTGTCTATTTGGTAACAAGTAGAAAAGTTTCAGTTTTTTCTAACCAAATAAGAAGAAATAGAGATGCAGAACAGTTGATAATCAATTAATAAAAACCGAAGTGATGGTGAAGGTTCCCTTTTAACATGTTGTTGCTGTTGTTGTTGTTATAATCAACAAGTATTCTGTTTTCCATGCTCATTCTTCATTTGAAGGAGGGGGGCCGAGATTATTTCCTTCCAGTTATCTAATTTAGATAATAATATGCATGCTAATTATTAGACCATTAGGAATGCTGACTTAATTTGTCATCATTAAACCCTTGAGCTTAACACATTTGTGCAACTTTTAGTAGGTTTTATGGATAGACATGGTGATCTCAATGGTCTTTCATACAATATTCATGCATCTCTCTTGGTGAAATACCTTGGGATTTGGTTGTGCAGCATATAATGTTATTCACCCAGATTCTTGATCATAAGTAGTGTTTAAGCTTAAATAGGCTGGTGTTTCAGAATTGACACGTTTGCCTGAATTTTTTTCAGTTCATTGTTTGAATACTATGAATCCTGCTATATTGCTTTTGATTTCATTTGATTCTTTCTGCTGCTATGGCTTTCCCCCACCCTTCACATTATTTCTCATAATTGCATATCTATTTGCAGAAATGTACTTTGACAAGGGCAACTTCTATGACTTCACTTCTCTGGGTGAGTAAATTATTTTGTTTGGTTCTAATTCTCAAGGAATCTGAGGTGGTGTTCCAGAATGAAGACCAGTGGTGCTAAGCATTAGTGCAAACTATTCAAACCTGGCTGTGGTTTTGGAAAAGATTGAAAATTTTAAAATTGCTTTATGTTTGTCTGGTATCTTGCCAGCAACATGGCTACGAGTACAGGACCTGGTTGGAAAGTAAACTGAATGAGTGTAAAGGAGTAAATGCATTACAAAGTCGAGTAAAAGGCACTGCTGTGGTGCTACCTAACCTTTTAGTCATGGTTTAGTGACATGCTAACTGAACATCATATCTTTTGTCTGTATCGAAGCCCTTTTCTACTCTTCCATTTGAATTTACTCCAGATCAGTACCATAGTAGCCTAGATAAAAATAAAAAATTGAATCTAACTTCCACCGGTTAGTGATATCTAGTTTGAACATAATTTTGCTGGTTTTGAAAATTCCCAAATGAAGCCTGAATGCCAGTTTTGACGGCTTTAGCTGTCATTTATTGTGAAAGATATTCGTCAAGAACATCGTATACTCTGCTGTCTTTTGCCATAATTCCAGCATGCTTTTATTATTGAGTTGGTCCCCCTTTCTAATATGTTTGATTTCTATGTTTCCTTCCCTGTAGTTCGCGAACTTGACGTTCCAGGTGACTTGTATGAAAGAAAAACGTATCCATTTGAATTTTCAACTGTGGAGATGCCATATGAGACATACAATGGTGTAAATGTGCGACTTAGGTAAGTTAGTTATTGTATACCATTGCAATACTATACTCTTTTGGCTTTTGTTGGTCTTTAGTACATTTCGTAAATTATAATCCTTTTTCTCTCTTTTTGCGTATGAGGAAAGCATGGCTTATAAGGGTTAAGAAGTGGTTTTAATTCAAGATATTTGTTGTTGAAGGGTTTGTATTAAAATTTTTTAACTGGTCTAATTACTTATTGGGATCCTGAGATTTATTGTTTAAGCTATCAGGTGATATCTCTTTACTTTCTATGTTCCGTCTTCTAAATGATGTATGGTTCTGTTTAATGATGAACAGTGGTGAACTTGTGATTAAGAGATTGTTTGGAGTTTTGGGAGAAGTTAAAAAGGAAAGGGTCAAGTGTCTTCTGGATACTTTCTAATGGGACAACTATTTAAAACATGAAGTTGAACTTTCATACTATATTCCTAACTATTTTGAGCTTTCAGTAATTTATGGCTGTCAATATTGAAAGTTATTTGAAGCTTTTGAGTTTTTCTTGTATTTGTGTTGTTAATTATGGGACAACTGAAGTCCGTTATCATAATGAAGTAATGAACTCAATCCTTTGAACTGCATGGACTTGTAATGCAGAAGATAATGTATCCTTGTTTTTCCATAAATTTTTTATTTACTCTCTTATCTTTGTAATGGGAGCAAACGTTGAGTGTCTGATATTAATTCTAGTGGAACTATGTTCATGTTTCAGGTATGTCCTCAAGGTGACAATAAATCGGGGCTATGCAGGTAGCATAGTGGAATACCAAGACTTTGTG